CTGACTTGTGAAGAAGCGAGGCGGTCTGTGCGAACCGAAATCTTTTGGGAACCGGTGTCCATTTATTCAGATCATGCGCTCTGTGGATGAGGTCTATTTTTAAAGGTGTCCATTATGCCGTATAAAACAGCGACCACTACTAGAACCCGAAAATAATCACTTGTTATTCCGCCTCTTCTCGATTGGCTTGGCTTTAGTTTTTGTCAACCCCCTCCCCCAGGTGAACTGCCTGTGGTCCATCAACTCCATTGTCGCTCCAAATGTCCACTTTTCGTCCTTTCACTGCGGTGGAAAAGTATCCACTATATGAATGCAGTGAGTAGAGCTTCCTCAATAAACTCAGTTTCGAACACTTGGTGGTATAGGCGCATCTCAAAAGGTGCGAGGAAGGGCGACCATTCACGACTGAGGCCTTCGGAAAAGTGTGGATTTCATTATCATTCTCCCACCTCGAGACCCAGTGAAGGATATGGATGCTTTTATGATATGCATTAACATGGTATTAGATGAGGCACAGGTTGTAGATTTCTAATGCTGTTGGTACATCAATAGAATGTGGCTTGCGTTACTGGCTATGTAGTGCTTTACCGAACGATTTCTCTGGCCTATCTCTTGGAATCACCGATCCAGGGCGGTTGGTCTCCGTATTGATTTTAAATATTAGTGGATTGGGTTGTGCCAAGTTATTCCAATTGTTCCAGATTTTCATTTAATCGCTTGTGATTTTTTTCATTGTTCAAAACTCGATTCAGCGTTATTGGCTACGACTTCCAGGTTCCTTAGTTGTCTGCTATTAGGTGTGCGGTAATAATCCACTGGTATACTTGAAGTACCCGCATACTGTATTGGACAAGCATCGAGCAATACATCTAAACAACTTAAACTCAGTAAATCATAACAGCCCGTGAAGAATTTACTTGGAACGAACGGTATTAGAACTCACACCTTTCGTGTTAAACGTCCGGGTTTCGAACCGCGAACAGATGAACTGTGAAATGAGAGACGGGTTCGACTTCGGAGCATCAGCAGTGTCTAGTCAAGTAAGCATCTGTTGTGCATGAATGATGATCAGCCCCCCCCCTCCCTCCGCCACTAAACATTACCCCTACCGTGTTTGCTTTGCTTCAGGTTCGCAGTCTAATTGATGGTAACGAAGGACTCGTCCCACTGAACTTCCTACGGCTACACGAGTATCCCAAATCTAACGGCCAAAAATCTCTGAGAATTCCTATATATACCCGTGAGTTAGACGATTCCCCTGCCCACAGTCTACCTGGCAAAAATGAAAGACCTGTAGAATATTACGAAAAATTTGGTTCATTGTCCTCAAACAGTACAGCCGGTCAGAACCCTGTTCAGTTGATCCCTGATCCTGACAAGAGAAGTCACTCGTCCAGTTCAGCCACCGTTCCTCGCGCATCCGAGACGAAGAAGAATTCCCAAAGTATGTCAAAATATATATCGACTTTCTGACGGTTTGGGATTCATGTTAACATCTTACTGAGACTATGTTTAATGGGAAGACCAGCATTCTGCATCGGGTGTTCGGTGTTATTTCACAACAAGATTTCGAGCTCGATTTTTTCGGCCCTTGCTTCGAAATCCGTTAAATGTATCGCCCTAGCATATTTGAAATTAATCGTAAATGGTCTGTTCTGTTAATAATGCAGATTAATGGATAAATGTGAGCTCAAAAAATCATATGATTATACAAATAACTCATAAACTGTGTCCATTTCATCATAATAAATCAATCTTTTCCTGTAATTTTTCGTTTTCTTTTTCTCGGTTGCTCGTTCTAGTAACCTTTATCGTTTCAAATCAAGCTGTTGTTCACTCAGGGCTTTCTCATGCGAGTTTTGACGAACCAAATGTTAGGTGAAATTAAATCACAAACTGGTTAATATAAGCTTGGCTGTGCCCTAAGTCTTGTCATTTTACTTATTTCTCGACATTGGTTTCAGATACGGACGGAAAATTGGCTAGGATTTCTCCGCTACGAGGTTCTTTCGTTCGCACTTTGATCGAGTTTGGCGGATCCAATCCGGATGAACTGACTTTCCAATCCGGTTCGGTAATCCGCGTGATTGGTCGGGCCCCGGTACCGCCTACAAGCGATCGCACGCAAACGGACGAAAATGGATTTCGTTCCAGTCCTGATTGTGCAGAACGTCTGAATGCTGCCTCCATATCTACAACCAACGTGGATGATGGTTGGTGGGAAGGGGAGTTGATCACTCCATCAACTGAAACACCTGCTTCAAATCAAACTTTTAAGCGTGTCCGAGGAGTGTTTCCATCGATGCTGGTGCAATTGATGTCTCAAACAGATGGAGAATTTTGGGAACAGATTTGGGAACGTGCAATTCCAGTTCCAAACAATTCCATTTCAAGTAAGTGGATTTTCGAATCCCTCGGAGAATGTACCACGACTTGTGACTTGACCACCTGACAAACGACCCGCAGATAAACATTTAATGGGTGGACAATCAGGATAACCGCCTGAGTTAACACCGGTAACTGAGTTTGTCCAATCGAATCGCTTGATGTCCTAATTCGTGTATCGATGCCTACGAGACCGAGATACTTCATTTTGAGATGAATCAATAATGGTGTTGTTCAGTTGCCTCTTACCATTTCACTGGCACCTGGAACTGTGTATTATTTCTTTTCTGGAAAACCGTAATGCATGTAATATTTAACACGTCACGTAGTACGTGGGTAATAGTTTTGACTCTGCTCGATGAGTCGCGGTTAAAGTCCGGATAGGGGAACAAAAAATTATCTCTGCTGACGCATCATTGACATAATAACTGTCGGTAATTACACAAAATTTGCGTCAAACTCGCGTTTTATTATCCGCTCTTAAGATCAATACTTTGAGACCTCCAGTAATGGATGATCACGATATGATGTGATCGGCAGTTGCAAATCGACCTGCGAAGCGGAACTCTGATCGCTTTTAAGTTCAACCATTAACGGAGGTAGTCAGTGATCACCGGGCGTTAATCAAGAAAGCTATCAAAATAGCAAGCAAAACATCGGCGGATTCTGGCGCACGATCAAAACGCAAACGATGGATCTTGTCGACCTCGACTACCCTGTTGGACGCCCGCAGAACCATCCCCGATGCTCAATACCATAAAGCGCGCAAATCTCCTACATGCCAGCCCATCGAGATTCCGAGGAATGACCTCGAGAAGTGGAGAAGTGTAAAAAGATAAAGAAAGCTCCGACTGTCGGCAATAGTCGCAATCGTTTTCGTTTAATTAAGAGCATTGGTTCGTGAAAGTAGGCGTAAGTGAGGATTCTGACGGTACACTGATTCATATTCAGCAACGCCGTCTTGAGCGATAGGCAGGACAGTTTGATTCACAGCTGCCCCCCTTTGACACTAGAACTCCCAATTCTTGCCTCAACTAAACAACTACTGCTAGCTAATTTCAGTCCTCAAACTGAAGTGGTGGTTACCTGGGAAATCGGTTATCTCCAAAGTGATGTTTTGGCATGAATACGAATATCTGAAAACGAGCTTGTTCGTCTCTGTTTTTTAATGTGCTCTGTGGGACTATTTCGACAAAAGCATAAGTCCGGACGGGCTGTCGGCTTTTAAAGATGGAGTGTCAGCCTTGGTTTTGGAGTTGATGAAACTTCTGGGTTCGGTATGGTAGAGCTAACAAGTTCCAACTGAGTGTTGTGATTCGATCACGTAAGCGATTTACAAGAAAGGTGACAGATCCTCCTGTGAAAATCATAGAGGAATCAGTTTAACCGACTTTATCCCTAAACTTCTCTCTTCGATCATACTCCGTTGATGCCTACCGCACGCGAACTGTGCACGTGTGAGTACCAGACTGGTGTTAGACCCAGTGGAGGTTGTGTAGACCACATTTTCACTCTTCGCTGAATTTGTATACACACTCCGTTCGTATACCCTTCAAGTTTGAGCTTACGGTGCCTTTTCGTTCGAGTTCACCACGGAAAATGGTGTTCGTCAGGATTGCCCCTTCCTTTTCTATTTAACTTTGAAATATATTTGATTATGGAAACATCTCGGTCTTCCTGCAATGTAAGCGACAACAATTTGCTTCAAGGTTGTAGACTGTCTAACCTGGAGAATGCACACGACATTGTTCTGTTAAGTGAAGGTCCACGTAAGTTATAAACTTTTCTTGCTAATTTTAATGCCATTATAGCTTTGTTTGGCATGCGTTTACATTTTCAAAGTGCAGTGTTATTACATGACTGGGCTGTCCCAGCCCCTACCTCACCCTAATCGGGGAAGTAGTGGAGGAAGTAGACAAATTTTGCTATTTGGGCNATTTGGGCGGATGTTTTAACTGGTTTACGTATGACAAATGAAGTATCTGCACGCATTCAGGCGACTCGATCGGCATTTGCTAACTTGAGACATCTGTGACGTCATCGCAACATCCGGCTGTCCGTGAAGGGTGGAGTATGCTGCAACCGTTCGGTCGAATCTATCGTACTGTGCACACACACTCGGATATTACGGGAGCAGGTTAAAATGGACTGCCGGTGTTCGAACACCGCTGTCTATGCTGCATTGCGCGAGTTTGGCGGGGAAACCGGACATGCAATGCTGAGCTTGGACTCAGAGTTGTTTCCAAACGCGGGCAGTGGGTGGACAAAGACCAAAGGTGGTCAAGACGTAGTAGGAGGGTATGGAAACCCCCCCC